TTTTACTTTTACTTTTTTAATTATCATGTTAAAAACAATTACTAAAAGTAAAATCTTAATAGTATTAAATATGTTACTTACTCATTACACTTAAACTTTAAATTATAATTTAAGCTGTTAATTATAAAAGTAACTTATGTTATTTTAAACTCTGCCAAATAAGATAATTATAATATAATATTTAGATAAAATAAATAAAATGAAATAAAATGTTGAAAGAATAACAATTACAAACTAATGTACAAAAAACTGCTGTCGAATCAAGATGAACTATGAGAGCGCATTGTACAGTTCTATCAAATGCACCAAAATCTCAAACAATTTTACTGTGAATCATTTTAAAACCTAAAATGTTCCAGTTTCAACTATTACCGTATTTTGGCATCCTTAACAACCAATTGTAAATGTTGTAGTGGAAGACAAGTTAAAACAATGAACAAGAAGAGACTTCATTTGCTTCACGGTGCTTTCAACGACAATGATTCAATAAGTCAATGAGATGCTGCAAAAAAGTTCAAGTGTATGCAGCCTTATATCTGCAAATCGCTGAAAAAACAAGGAATAGTCTGCCGAAAAAAACCATATCACCGGAATACACTGAGCAACAAATATCAACTGTGAAATCTCAATGTTGCTGGATGACCCGAAATTACTCTGGTAAATGTTTTGTTTTGGATGACGAAAGTTACTTCCCCCTCTCCAAAATGTTAGTCGCAGGAAATGATCGATATTATACAGATAAAAGTTCTACAACACCTATAAAAGTAAAATACAAATATAAACACAAGTTTGAGCAGAAAGTGATGCTGTACATTGCCATATCTGAGAGGGAAATTTCCAAGCCATTGTTAAAGCCAAGTAGTTTGAAGCGAAATTATATAAAAACTTCAAAAATATTCATCATTTCAGAAAAAAATTATTTAAAATTTTAGTGAACAGAAAATGAACTTTTTTAACTAAAAACGAAAAATAGGGAACTTAGCAAGATTTTTTATAATTATTTTTTTTATAAAATAATGATTATTTTTAAAATTTTATATAATTTCGCTTCTTTTAAGACCCAATGACATACTTTTGAAAAGCTTTTTTTTTAATAATATTAGGGATCTGCTTGATGTTTAAGGGTCTTGTGGCACCCCTAAAAACATTTTTTATTCCAAAAATTTTCAAATCCAGTATTACTTTATTAGCAGACATTTTCAAAAAAGGTTGTTTTAGCACCACCCTAATATATATATATATATATATATATATATATATATATATATATATATATATATATATATATATATATATATATATATATATATATATATATATATATATATATATATATATATATATATATATATATATATATATATATATATATATATATATATATATATATTAGGGTGGTGCTAAAACAACCTTTTTTGAAAATGTCTGCTGATAAAGTAATACTGGATTTGAAAATTTTTGGAATAAAAAATGTTTTTATGGGTGCCAGCCCTCCTTTCCCCTGCATTATCAGACAGAAGTTGGATCAACTATGTCTGTTTTAACAGCCTCACACCTGAAAACAAATTCAGTGGTTTATGCTTTAAGTAAAAATGAAGAACTTCGCTATGAGTTTCTTGCTTTCAAAACAGCCATGGCAAATGAAATTCAAATGCTTAGAGATGAAAACACTAGTTTACGCAAGCAAATAAAATGTCTTCGAAAAGAGAAATCTCCTCCGCATCAGTTACACTCTACTAGGCCATCTTATCTAGATATAACTAAAATTGGAACAACTGATAATTATGCTCTTATGAATACAATTAACAAAAATCAGTGCATGCAAGCTGACAGAGCCACCAAAATAGTTGTTGTTGGTGTAGAAAACTCAAAAAAAGTCACTCAAGAAGAGTGTTCAAAGGATGACACCAAAATAATTAGAGATATAATTGTAACAATTAATTCATCTGCAAATATAAAATCAGTTTACCGTCTACATAACACAAACCGAACATCTACCCATTTATCAACAAATAATTTGCCACCTCCTCTTATAGTTAAGTTTGACACTGTAGATAAATAATAATAAAGCTCGTAATAAAGTTATTTCATTAGCGAGAAACTTAGCTAACTCAAAGTACAAAGAGATTTTCATTAGACCTGATTGTACCCCATCAGAACTTTAACAGATGAACTTAGAAAAGAAGAAACTGAATGATGAACTTAATGGCAATTTTTAACTTGATCAGCCCTTTCGATATGTTGTCCGCGGAGATTCCATTCGTTGTATTGACATCACCCAAAAAATTATTATTAATGAAGTCGAAAAACATCCCTTTGTGAACAAAAAAAAGGCAGCAGATGCAAGAAAGGTTAAAACCATTGACCTATCATAATTAACATCAACTACCAATCAATAAAGCAGTCAACTATAAATCTAACAAAGTATCAGATACACACCAAGTGTTAAACCCAAAATCATCACCTAATAAATTTTTAAGCAGTTTCTATACCAATGCTACATCTTTAAACCAAAACAAACTTCTGGAACTTTCACTAGGTGTCTCTAACTATAAATATGATATTATTTTTATCACTGAGACCTGGTTTAACAATTTTTCGACTCCATCTCTTCCAAGTTATAATATTTTCAGAAAAGACCGATCTACTCATGGTGGTGATATTGCAATCTATGTTAACTGCAACTTCACTGCAAGCCAAATTGAAAATTCTCAAAGATTCGCTGTAAAACGTTTAGAACAACTCTGTCTCAAACTCACTTTGAATCATGAAACTTTTCTTATTGGTTGTATATATCGTCCACCAACTAATGGAATAAAATAATGAAATTGTTAACACAAATTCTTAAGCCAAATTGTTTATTAAAAAGAAGAAGTTTGCAGACCTTATAATTGCCGGTGATTTCAACTTCCCGAACATCAAATGGAAAAAAGGGTGTATATATACCTCAAACACTGAAACCAGTTTAGATTATCAACAGTCTATATCTACATTAACATGTCACTAGACCAACCTTTATTCAATCCAACGAGTCTTCAAAAAAGATTCTTGACCTAATAATCAGCGAATTGGCCAATCATACAAGTGAGATTGTTGTTGGTCCGCCATTAGGAAATAGTTCACAAGGTCACTGTACTCTATCCTGGCATTATCAATTAGCTGATGACTACACCAACTTTAAATCGTTTTACTAGTTCAAAATTTATTTATAATAAAGGAAATTATATTCAATTTAACAATTATCTGTCCAAACAGAGGTGGGAAAATCTATTTAAAAACTTAGATGCCAATGAAAGCTACCAAATTTTCTGCAATATCTATAAGGTTGCAAAAAATTTATTCCATTAATCCATTTAAAACAAAATAAACGACGGTTAATCTGGGTAACGAAAGAACTTTTATTACTAATTAAACGAAAGAAAAAACTCTGGTTTCTCAACCATAACAGCAAGTGGAAAATTATCTCACTGGCTAATGATTACAAATTTACTCGAAATCTTGTAAGAAAAGAGACTAGAGCTGCAAATCAGTTGTTTGAAGAAAACCTTTCTAAAGACAAGAACAATCCAAAAAGACTATTTGCCAACATTAATAACAAACGTACTGTCAATAATCATATCAACACATTGTTTTCTCCATCCGGTGAACTCTCTACCGATAGATTTTTAATTACTAATACATTGAACAAGGTATTCTAATCTGTCTTTACTATTGAGTCTCATAATCAAAATCTACCTCTGTTTGCTAAACGCTCATCTACCTCTCTCTTAAAATTTTCATTTCATTCTGAATCTTTTCAAAAACACCTTGAGGCAAATGACAAATATAAATCTGCTGGAGAATATCAAATAAGTCCTTACATTCTTAGAGCATGTGCCAGCACAATAGCAGCTTCGCTTGCCATGATTTTTCAATTGTCAATAGAACAAGTAATTGTACCAAAGGCTTAGCTTGTAGCTAATGTAACTTCATTGTTCAAAAACGGTTCTAAGACTGACCCTACAAACTAAAGACCAATTTCTATCACTTCTGTACCATGTAAGATAATGAAAAAACTGGTTAAAGATAAGGTCATGCATCACTTATTATCTAACAATCTTCCCTTCCAATGTCAACACGGATTTGTCAGCAAATCATGCACTACAAATTTACTCGAAACTATGGACTTTTTGACTTACACTGCATCATAAAAGCTACCTGTTGATGCCTTATTTCTCAATTTTGCCAAAGCATTTGACAAAGTTCCTCACAAAAGGTTACTAAAAAAGCTTGAATCTTATGGAATTAGTGGAAATGTTTTAAATGTTTTATAATATATATATATATATATATATATATATATATATATATATATATATATATATATATATATATATATATATATATATATATATATACATATATATATATATATATATATATATATATATATATATATATATATATATATATATATATATATATATATATATATATATATAATATATGTATATATGTATATATATAAACACATACATATAAATATGTATGTATATATATATGTATATATATATATATCATATTTATAATATATATATATATAAATAAATATATATACATACATAAATATATATATGTGTGTAAATATATATATATATATGTAATATATATATATATATATATATATATATATATATATATATATATTATATATATATATATATATATATGTTACAATATATGTAATATATATATATATATATATATATATATATATATATATATATATATATATATTTATATATATATGTATATATATATATTTGATTTTAATATATATATATATATATATATATATATATATATATATATATATATATATATATATATATATATATATATATATATATATATATATATATATATATATATAATATAGCAAAATAACAATAATAGAAATTTTTTACTTTTAATTTTAAAACTCAAACATTAAAAACATCAAAATATGAAAAATTAATAACCTTTACAACATCTGATTTGGTTTTAGGAAGCTTTTCTTTTAAATCAGACAAAAACGCATGTGCACCAACAGGATTATGCCAAACTTTAATAACACGATCTGTTCCTCCTGCTGATACTAATTGGCGTGAATCAGCATGCCACCGCAGTGCTGTGATATGACCTTTTAAAAACAATAAAAAAAAAAGATTAGATTCATAAGTTTTTGCTTGAGGTTTTTTGTAAATAAATAATTTTTAGTTAAATGAATAACTTTGACCTACCAATTTTATATACAATCAATAGATTTTTAGGGCTTGAATTAATGCAAAAAAATCTAATTGCAAAAATCAAAAAAAAATTTCAAACCCTATTCCTGCGGCTGCTTTGCAGTAAAGGGGTTGCATTAGAATAAAATTGTATCTTTTGTACATTAGTTTTGTAATTGCTACTTTTGTATCACATTTGACTGAGTTTAAAATAGCATTAGTTACTGTCATAACTTACAGCTTAAGTTATAATTTAAAGTTTAAGTTACAGTTACAGTTAATGAGCAAGTAATGTATTTAATACCATTACGCTATTACCGTTAGTAATTGTTTTGTTTTTACCATGATATTAAAAAAGTAAAAGTAAAAACACAAATTTATTACAATATTTAAACCACTTTAATTTGTTATAACTTTTTAATAAAATCTGTTTTATTTTTAAAAACTATCAAATTAAATCAAAATATCAAATAGTAAAAAGCAATAAAACAATACTGTGAAGTAGTTTTGTCTATGTAAACAGCTTGCGTTAATATAAAACAATTTTGTGACATTGTATTACTGCTGTTTTATACAGTTTACAATATTAATAACATAAAATGCGTTTAAAATAAAATGTAGTATTAATGAAGAGCTCAAATGCAAAACCAGACAAATCTAATGTTTATTAAAAAGGAGACTTTAAAAAGGAGATTCAAACTATGTGATGTTTACAACATCCAAAACGGAAAATTAAAAAAAAAATTGATAATGGTTACTAGCTGCATTTTAATTTTTAAGTTGTTGCAAATTAGTTATCAATAGTTTAGACCTTGAAATTACAAAGACAAGTCAAATACCCAACGCTTTTACAAGAAAATTCAGTTATCCAATTCCTAGCGATTATTTCATTAAAGAAAAGTCAACTGAAGAGAAAAAGATGTTGTTTAACTTTCTTAAATGCAATTTAAAAAAGCGGCTCGTGGGAGTGTTTAATCGTTTACATGGTAGTGGTGGCCTGCCAAAGGATGTTCGAGGTGACAACAGAATATCTCACAAATTTTTACAAAATTTTTGTTTCTGAGTTTAACATTGGTTGTAGTACTCTGCAAGTAAATGCATGTACCACTTACAAAAAATTGAAAATTTGATTATGCATAAGTAATAAGTCCAGGTTGTAGCAGAACTTAAACTGCAAAAAAAAATTTATTTGCAGAAGCGTGCTGCATTTTATTACTTAATTAAGAACTCTGATGCAGACACATACAAGATTGTATATGATCTACAGCAGGTACAAATTCTGCCTAAAATGCCTGTTCAGGAAGCTTTCTATACCAAAGAGCTACCTTTATACAATTTTGCAATCTGTGACATGTTGTATGTAAAAAATTACTGTTATACATGGATTGAGAGTGAAGCAGAATGTGTTTCAAATGAGAAAACAAGTGCGGTGTACCACTTTCTTATTAAGGTTAGTTTCTTTGTTAATTTGGCAGTTATAGGCAAGCATTACATATCGAGTTATTCAGCGATGGTTTTGGAGGACAGAACAAAAACAACATCCTTTTGGGAATGGTTCAGCATTGGCTGCACAAAATAACAGTAGGTGGTGAAAGCCAGATTAAAGATGTGTACCATTTTTATGTACCATTACAAGATGTATGTGTACCACTTTTATGTACCATTACAAGGTCCTTTTTTCTGTGTAACCGCCTTTTGGAAGAATGTCACAAGACACAGCAAGCAAGTCAAATATCACTACACCTGAAAAGTATCATAAGATATTCGAAATGCATGCTGATGAAGTATTTGTTTACGGTAAGAACTGCGTTTCGTATGATTTAAAACCAGCTGCAGCAGCAACATACTAACTGTTTGTTGGACTGCAAGAACTAAAGAGAATACTTGTTTATTTGTATGAGTCAAAGGAAAAGTTGGTTATTACTGTAAGTGAAAAGAAAGATATAATACAAGTACAAAGAATTATCATTCACTATTGAAAGCAAACGCATTTCATTCAAAGATGAAGCTAAAACAAGTGACAGGTTTCTGACCTTTGTCTACAACAAAACTTGTGTACATTAAAAACTTCTTTAAAATGACAATTGGTGAAAGAGAAAGTGTTGCAGAGTCAGCTTTTCACACTGACAGAAAGTGAATCTATTGTTGATACAGATAATCCTAAAAAATGACGCCACGTCATCTTTTTTTTTTTTTTTTTTTTTTTTTTCAACATCTTCGCTTCCAACAAGGCTGCAAGCAACCACTAATTAGTGTTGGAAGTTACTGGAAGAGAAAAGATGAAGATTGTAGAGCAAGATAACAATTGACAGACGACTTAAAAGATTGCAAATTATATGAATCAGGAAAGCAAGATGAAGGAAGCGAATTCCAAAGAACTGAAGTTCGAGGAAAAAAACTAGACGAATAAGAGTTTTTGGAGCACTTAGGAACAGTAACAGAAAAAGGATGAGACTTAATTGAAGTAACACGAGAATGAATTTTTGTATCTTCAGAACAGAATTTGTAGTCACAATGTACATACTTTCCAATATCATGGTTATGCTATAAAAGAGTTTACAGTGACTCAACCTAATGACTTGAACAAGACAATGGTAACGATGAAAAAATATGTGTCTCAAAACAGAGTACTTATGACATATACTAATACCAAAAACCAACAGCTTGAAAGTTCCCTCATTCAGAAAATTCATTTTGTCTCATCGAGAATGAGGGAACTTATACCTTGACCAAGTCAAAAAAATTGAAATTGTTGATTAATTGTTTTGAAACATTCCAAATGAGTCCCTCTCAATCAATGAATGTGTATTCAACAAATAATGACATGTTGGTTGCAGAGTTGCATTAATTTTATTCACATATTATAACTTTGATTTATAAACCTTAAACACTTAAATTTTTTTATAGTAAATGATGTTTATGAGTAGAGAATTGCATATGTCTTTAAAACCTTTTCTTACGTAACCTTAAAATTTGATCAACAAGTTTATTTAGTGATTAACATTATTTTATTGAAGAACTTGTATGTTTATTGTCAAAATATTCTTATTAGATATATTTAAAAATTATTTTAATGCTAAGCAAAGAAATCTAATTAACTTTTTAGAATAAAAAGATTAAAATTAACATTCAGTTTAATAGTATTTGAAGTTACCCTTAATGCAAGTGTAACTGAATCCTTTGTTGAACTTTGTTTTCTTAATAAAATAACTATCAGATGAAAAAAATTTATCAAAATCTAAAAAAAGGAGATCATCAGAACACCCTTTATGCAAAAATATTTATTTGGTTTGTAAAAACTTTTACGTAGAGTTGAAACTAGTGCAAAGCACACAAAGTTAACCAGAATGACTGTATCTGAAATATCATAAACCATCATAATGGTTTTATTAGTCTTGCTACAAATTGAGGTGGAACCTCTTACTACAATTAGTTTTTTATCTATTGATGTGATGAACACAAAAAAATCTGGAGAGGTTTTGCCACATACATATCTTCCAAACTCTCAATTAATTGAACATGCTGTAAAGTCTGTAACCTATGCTAGTTTATGGTCTCAAAAAAAAAGCTTTTTTCTCAATAAAGATCAGAATAAAAAAAAAATCACAGAAATATTTAATTATAAATTGATTAACAATAAAAAAAATTTAAGTTGATGTTTTGTTTTTAATTTTAATCAATGCCATAAACTCTGTAAAGTTTACACTTTTAATCAATGCCATAAACTCTGTAAAGGTTACACTTTTAATCAATGCCATAAACTCTGTAAAGGTTACACTTTTAATCAATGCCATAAACTCTGTAAAGTTTTTTTACCATGCATTGATCTGAGAGTTAATCTTTTTTAAGGCCTATCATGAAAACACACAATGTTATCAGATCCATATTTTATGAGTGACATCCAAAAACATTTAAACTTTTATATTTATAATAATTCTTTACATTTTAGCCAATTTTTGCAGCATGCTATATTCAAGTGTGCAGTATATATGTATGCAAAACTATTCCCAATTTTGGCAGTTTTTAAATGATGAGCGGGCTTCATCAGTTCTACATTTTTCAAAATTATTATAAAAAATTGTTTGATTTTACATATAAAATCTTCCACATCCATACTGATATTTGTTTTCAATAAATTTTGCTAAGGCTTTGTTAAGAAGCGTTATCTTGTGTGAATTTTATGTACAAAATGGCAATTTCACCTACACATTAAGCCATTTACATTACACAAAAACTTTTTTCAATTAGATTATTTTAATAGTCTTTTAAAATAGTTTATATGGAAAACATTAAGCTGTAATTAATTGTTGTAAAAAACATTTTCATCGCAATTACAAAATAAGTTTTTTTTTTTATTTGATAAAAAAACAGATAGTTGAATAAATTTTTTTCGAATTTTTGTTTTAAAAATTTTTTAATTTAAATTTATTTTATTATATTTATATTAAATTATTCATTAAAGATTTATAATGCTTTATTTTACAATTCTTTTTACTGTTTTAATTTCTAATGTTAATTTTCTATGTTAAAGAAAATTCTTTTTAATAAATTTAATTAAGTTACTTTTTTCAAGCTACTTTTTATGTTTGTTTTCAACTGTTTTGACTATTTAATTATAGTTACAAATCAATTATTTTCTTTTATTCCATTACAAAAGTGCTAATATACAAAAGTGTACTAATAGTAAAATTTCTATATTTGCTTAATGCACATATAGAAATTAGAGGTGCACCAATGCATCAGCATGGGCCTGCAAACGCATCGACCATTTAGCTGATAATCCGACCATTTAGCTGATAGTAACAAAGCCTTTCAAAAAATTTTTTGAACAATTTTTTTTCAGGGGCTCTTTACTTTTTTGGAGTCTTTTTATAAATTCAAACAGCAATTATATGACTTATGGATCTAAACTATACAAAGAGATAAGTTTAAAACCAAGGAATGTAAATAAATAAGTAAATATTTGCTGCCAGATGTTCCTCCAGTTGATTTTTTTTTTGCAAAAATTTGCAAACTGCTTTTGAATGTTTATTTTCATCTATGTCAAGATTTAAAGACATTTAAAAGGTTTAACCACATTCTAAAACAATGCTGATACTAGTCCAGCAAATATATTATTGATAACTGATAAACTTGATTGTAGACAGTAGACAGTTTACATCCGGTTGTTTTACCTCTACGAGAAATAAGCATTTAATTCTCAAGTAGTAGGGGTGGTGTTTTTTAATATTTAATTGTAGTATAGTATGAACTTGTAACTATATGTAAATTGATGGAGGGAAAAAAAAAAAGTTAAAAGCACTAAAAATAGTTTTTTTTTAAATATATAAACATTGTTTCTGCGCAATGGCGATTGCCTTATTGACGTATTTTCATAATTTACTCATTATCAGATTTTTCTGTCGAATTATCATCAAGTAATTTTTTTTATAACAGATGTTCCCTGTACAAATATTTCTGTTGCTAATTTAGCACAGCCTTTATTTTTATTATGACAATTTATCAAAAGCTCTGAATACTCTCGGCAAGTTTTACACCATATTAAAATTACTTCACCTGAATCATCAGTTTGAAATCCGCAGGATTTAAACCCCTATTTTTCAACAACAGTTTTGTTTGGCATTATGTCTTGTTTTAAGCTTACTTACTGTATTACTGTTGCATCTGTTGCGATTTAATGGAAGCTTTAACTTCTATTAAAGTTTTTTAATTAATATTTCTTCTCCGTATGTGTTTAACATAACTAAACCAAGGCTAAACTTTCCTAATAGACTTCTGATCTTAAATAATATTTACAAAACCGTAAACATGTAAATTATTTTTTATAACTTAATAAAATAATAATTGCGCTTAAAAAAGCATGAGAACAACAGGCATTTAAAAAGGAATACATTTAAACCTTGCTATGCTTGAATAAATTTGAGAAAAAAAGAAAAAAAAGAATTGCAAAAAAATGAAGAAATTTTTGTTTTAATAAAATATGTCAAACTTGAAAAGCAAGTAATTACAATTAAAAAAATTATAAAATAATATTTTTATATTAATATTATTTTATAATTTTTTACTTAAAGTGTTTCAATTTGCATGCCGACACATTAGGACATTCAGGTCGGCAGTTGCATGCTGCCCTAAAGCAAAGATAGGTCGGCTTTTGCGTCGGCATAGCCGAATGACGACCTGAATTTCGCTGACTGCATATATATATATACATATGTATATATATATATATATATATATATATATATATATATATATATATATATATATATATATATATATATATATATATATATATATATATATATATAAATATATATATATATATATATACATATATGTACATATATTATTATTGTGGATACAACTCTCTACAAACTTTTAACTTCGAAATATAAACATTGATGAACAAGGCCGGTGCAAAGAGAAACAACTTGAGCATGGCACTATTAGGGATGTGGAGGAGAACTTATGAACCATTGTTTATGAACCAAGCGCTCTACCCTAAAACTACTACATTAATTGATAATACGATAAATTATCAATATATTGTATTACTAATAGATATCAATCTAACTTAAATCTATTTTTATAAGAATATTTTATTATCATTAAATAATAATACAAAAAATATATAGTTTACCTTTATGAGCACTTTCTATTTCTTCTTCCATATTTCCTGATTTGGCATTAAACATATAAATAGACATATAAGTAGCTATGGAAACAGTATAATAATCATGTGAAAGTGCAATAAAAGCAGGGTGTTCAACGTGTTTAAACTGGCCAGTGTTCAAAAGATAAGCATCTTGTCCTTTTAAATAGTTTACTAAAATAAAATAGAACATTAAAATTAAATTAAATTTTCTTTAAAGTTAAAAGCATTAAAATAAATAAACAAACTCAAAAACTACAACTAAAAATTTGGTTTTATAAATTTGAGTTAGGGTTTGAATTAGAGTTATTTGCCAAAAACAAGACAGGGACAAACCCAGACCTGTTTTATTACAACTGGAGCGGTATGGGCGCCCATAAAAAAGCGCCCAAAAATTAGTTTTATTTTTTAACTTTTCTTTTGATTTTTTATATATAAAATAGAAAAATAATTTTCAGTTTTAAATGCAGTAGTATAAAAATAATTTTCAGTTTATTAACTACCTTATTTATTATAGCTACCTTATTTATTATAGCTATCTTATTTATTATAGCTACCTTACTTTTTCTTCAGTTTATTATAGCTACCTTATTTATTATAGCTACCTTATTTTTTCTTCAGTTTATTATAGCTACCTTATTTATTATAGCTACCTTATTTATTATAGCTACCTTACTTTTTCTTCAGTTTATTATAGCTACCTTATTTATTATAGCTACCTTATTTTTTTTTCAGTTTATTATAGCTACCTTATTTATTATAGCTACCTTATTTTTTCTTCAGTTTATTATAGCTACCTTATTTATTATAGCTACCTTATTTATTATAGCTACCTTACTTTTTCTTCAGTTTATTATAGCTACCTTATTTATTATAGCTACCTTATTTATTATAGCTACCTTACTTTGTCTTCAGTTTATTATAGCTACCTTATTTATTATAGCTACCTTATTTTTTCTTCAGTTTATTATAGCTACCTTATTTATTATAGCTACCTTACTTTTTCTTCAGTTTATTATAGCTACCTTATTTATTATAGCTACCTTATTTATTATAGCTACCTTACTTTTTCTTCAGTTTATTATAGCTACCTTATTTATTATAGCTACCTTATTTTTTCTTCAGTTTATTATAGCTACCTTATTTATTATAGCTACCTTATTTATTATAGCTACCTTATTTTTTCTTCAGTTTATTATAGCTACCTTATTTATTATAGCTACCTTATTTATTATAGCTACCTTACTTTTTCTTCAGTTTATTATAGCTACCTTATTTATTATAGCTACCTTATTTTTTCTTCAGTTTATTATAGCTACCTTATTTATTATAGCTACCTTATTTATTATAGCTACCTTACTTTTTCTTCAGTTTATTATAGCTACCTTATTTATTATAGCTACCTTATTTATTATAGCTACCTTACTTTTTCTTCAGTTTATTATAGCTACCTTATTTATTATAGCTACCTTATTTTTTCTTCAGTTTATTATAGCTACCTTATTTATTATAGCTACCTTATTTATTATAGCTACCTTACTTTTTCTTCAGTTTATTATAGCTACCTTATTTATTATAGCTACCTTATTTATTATAGCTACCTTACTTTTTCTTCAGTTTATTATAGCTACCTTATTTATTATAGCTACCTTATTTTTTCTTCAGTTTATTATAGCTACCTTATTTATTATAGCTACCTTATTTATTATAGCTACCTTACTTTTTCTTCAGTTTATTATAGCTACCTTATTTATTATAGCTACCTTATTTTTTCTTCAGTTTATTATAGCTACCTTATTTATTATAGCTACCTTATTTATTATAGCTACCTTACTTTTTCTTCAGTTTATTATAGCTACCTTATTTATTATAGCTACCTTATTTTTTCTTCAGTTTATTATAGCTACCTTATTTATTATAGCTACCTTATTTATTATAGCTACCTTACTTTTTCTTCAGTTTATTATAGCTACCTTATTTATTATAGCTACCTTATTTTTTTTTCAGTTTATTATAGCTACCTTATTTATTATAGCTACCTTATTTATTATAGCTACCTTACTTTTTCTTCAGTTTATTATAGCTACCTTATTTATTATAGCTACCTTATTTTTTTTTCAGTTTATTATAGCTACCTTATTTATTATAGCTACCTTATTTATTATAGCTACCTTACTTTTTCTTCAGTTTATTATAGCTACCTTATTTATTATAGCTACCTTATTTTTTTTTCAGTTTATTATAGCTACCTTATTTATTATAGCTACCTTACTTTTTCTTCAGTTTATTATAGCTACCTTATTTATTATAGCTACCTTATTTTTTCTTCAGGACAATAATATAAATTAAAAAGAAATAGCTTTTTTATGTAATTACGAGTTGTAACTGTGATTACGTAAAAAAGCAATTTCTGTAAACATTTATTTAAAAAAAATAAATGTTGCTACGAAACTTAATTTTAAAAACTTGTTGCAAAAATTTACAGCAATAGAATGCTTACAAAATTTGCTTTTACAAAAGATTGAGCAATTTAAAAAACATTTAGAGTAAAGTTAACCTTTATTTTTTGGCAATTAAGAGTGAACTGCTTTTGATAATAAATGAACAAAAGTAAAAAATTTTAGTTCTAATAACTATCGTGCAAATTTATTTTTTGAATGAACAAACTTTTGATCTTTAGCTTGCTATTATAGTTTGTGTGAGGAAAACGAAAAAACAAAACATAAATTATATCAGAAAATTTTTTTTTTTTTCAATATTCTTTTTGACCTTTAAAATAATAAAAATAGTGATTACAATACTTAACTTTTATTAAGATCTGTTTAAAATAACCCATAGTAAATGTAATTTATTTATTAAACGTAATTTTTTTAATTATACCTAATGATTAAAATTTTTTTTTTTAATATAATATGTTTTTTAAAATAAAATATGCTTTTTAATAAAATAAAAATTTAACATTTTTTGAATTATGTTTACCGTAATTATCTCTTCTTTAATTATCTTTAATTTAAATGGCGCCTCATAATCAAATTAAAAATTATTAACCTTTAGTAAAAGTTAAATAAAAAGATTTGCTAATATTTAAATCAAAATTTTAAAATTAAAATAATAGTTAATATGTTTATTAAATGCTTACGTTTTTTATTTGAATAGTTTATTAAATACATTTATTAAATGCTAATCAAATTTGTTTATTAAATGCTGGTGTTTTTAATTTGCATACAAGAAATATTGTTGCGCAAAAGTGTAAGAACTTAGCGAAAAACTTTTGTTAATTTTACAAATATTACACAATTCAATATATGTAAATACATTATTTAATGTAAATATTGATTAAAAATTGTTTAAAGTATTAAAACATTCAAGTACTTATTAAAACATTAGTAAGTACTAAAATTTCGTAAAATATAGTTACTAAACATTTAAATTACTTTAAACAATTTTCAATAATTATTGACTAATGGCGTGGTATTTGCTACAAAAGCGTTTTTTAAAGACTAAGAGTAAAATAGCTTTATTATTGTCTCTAAAGTAACATCATCCTCTGGTTCATGTATTCAAAAAAATGCCTTTAAATCAACTCCTTATCTTAAGATGAGACTAAACAAGATAAACACAAATAGTTAAAAAGATATTTGAAAAAATGATGATTAAAATAGTTAGTTGCAGCACCAATTTTAACTAGGGGAGAAGAGGAGAGAGGTATGTGTGTGGGGAAGGGGAAGATAAACTCAAAAACATCATGACCCCGACCCCCCAACATAACTGAAAAAAAAGGGTTAACCCCAAATGAACTCTGGGTTCTTCACTGACCAGAGGGTGGCGGGATCAAACTCTGACCTTTTTGCTTATGAAGCAAGTGCTCACTACACCATAACCACATTTTCATCTGAGTCTGACAAAAAAACTGAAGAAACAACCGATAGATATTTAAATTCAGATAATAAAGAAAATTCAGATGATTTGCAAATTTTTGTGACAATATTAGCCCTTGGAATTAGAAAAAATAAGGTTGGCAATAATTTTCTGACCTTAATCTGTGTGAGGTTGGCATCTGGTCAGCAGAAAAAATGTAAAACCAGGTTTTGGCCATAAAACATAGAAACAGAAAAATTATTTTATATTATTTTAAGTTGTACTTAATTGAAATATATTTATATATTGTTAGTAGTTTATTTTTATTTTTATTTATACTTTATTTTATCTTTGGATGAAACTAAACAAGATAAACACAAATGAATAAAATGATTGAAAAAATGATGATTAAAAATCGTTGACAGAGCACCGGTGCAACAGGAGATAAGGAAGAGGAGAAGGAGGGGAACACAAAATCATTACCACCCCCCACCCCTTAACTTTGCCACACAAAAAAAAACAGCATCCCTATATATATATATATATATATATATACATATATATATATATATATATATATATATATATATATATATATATATATATATATATATATATATATATATATATATATATATATATATATATATATATATATAATATATATATATATATATATATATATATATATAAATATATATATATATATATATATATATATATATATATATATATATATATATATATATATATATATATATATATATATATGTATATGTATATATATATATATATATATATATATATATATATATATATATATATATATATATATATATATATATATATATATATATATATATATATATATATATATATATATGTAAAAAACATGCCTAAAAAAATTATTCTCAAAAAACCTGAAAATATTGACTTTTTTCATTTTCAGCTTAAAAACAATAGTTTTTATGCATTTATACCTGAAAAAATTATTTTTATAAAAAATTATTTTCATTTTTAAATTTTTTATATAATTTTGCTTATTTTGAGTACCAGGTTGACATACTTTAGAAAAAGTTTTTTTTCAAAATATTAGGGACCCGTCAAATTTTTGAGGGCCTTGAGCTACCCCTAAAAATATTTTTTGATCAAAAAAATTTTAAACCTAGTGTTTTTGTATTAGATAAAACACATTTAGGGGGTACCAGCAGGTTTTTCTCAAAAAAGTTGTTTTAAGCACCACCCTAATATATATATATATATATATATATATATATATATATATATATATATATATATATATATATATATATATA